TTCTCAGCGTGGGAATTGAGTCACTGAATACAAGTGTCAGAGTGTGTGAAGATGTTGACCTTGTCCAATCTGGCAACCCTTTCAGCACTTCAGAGTCGCACTGTCTGGTTGCTAACTGCAACCCACCCCACCCCATCCCCCCACCCCACCCCACCCCACCCCATCCTTCATCCTTAAACCCTCCCCATCTGTGTCTGTGTGTGTGTGTTCTAAAGTGAACCAAAAAATCAGGTGCGTTGTGTTCCAAAGTGATCTCGCTTTTTGCTAACCCTTCCATGTTTTTGGGTGTTTTGTGTTCCAAAGTGACCCATGTTTTTGTGTTCCAAAGCGAACTAAAACCCTGTGTTCCAAAGTGAACTAAAACTTGTGTTCTGAAGTGACCCCGCTTCCTCCAGGAATGGCATCCTTGCAAGGCCAGCAGCGTGATGCATTGCGGCCCTTCTCACCCGTCCACACTTTGCTGGTGCCACTGCCATGCCCACAGGGTGGCCCACCGCAAGTGTCGTCTATGCTCGAGGCGAGGCCAACGACTCTAGGGTGGCCAGAGTCAGTGGAGAGTAGAGGCCAGGAGTCCTACACATGAGGCATCATGAGGGCCGGTCCAGATTCTGTCTTGCTTTCCGGGCATTCATTGGAAACGTCACAAGGAAGCTGGAAACCTTCCAAGAGTCCTTCCACCAACATAGAAACTTCACCAGTCAAGGCAATCTAGTTTCACTGGCCTTGCAGGTAGCGCGCTTTTATGATGGAGCTCTATTCCGGAGAATCTCTGTGTGTTTCTTGGGCCACCATCTAATTTTTGTGGGATCTCATGTTTATATGTTTTTGTGATATTCGCCGAAAGTGAGCCTGTCCAAAGTCCTTATAGTATATAGTTCTATGATGTTCCATGAAATTCCGAAACTCAGCCAAAATACCGTTGATGTTCTCCGTTTGCTTTGCAATTGGCCACGGAGCACCTTCAACCTCCCGGTGTGCGGGTTCCCAGGCGAGTCCTTCTGGGAAGTGGCACCTGACCTGGCGGATTCTCCCGCTGCGGCCTGGGCCATGAGCGGCGCCTTCCCGGCGGAGCTGAAGCCGCTCTTCGTGGAGTGCTTCGGGGTGCGTGAGGCAAGTGGAAGGGAGTGGAAGTAGCCAATGGAGATTTCTAGGCCACTCTGAACAGAGGGAAGCCACTCTGGGATGCAGTTGGGCCCTGCTCCAAGTTCGTGAAGTGCCCGTGATAGCACGAAGCCCGAATCGACCCAACCCGCCGGGAGGTGGTGGACACCGCAGCCCTCCGGGAGGGCATCTTGGCCAGGGTCAACCACGGCAAGCGTGCTGGTGGCTCAAGGCTTTCTCGCTCCGATAGAAAGCGAGAGAGAAAGTGACGAGTGTGCTACTGGCCTAGTCGTCCTACCACACCTGTCACCACAATTGGGACTAAGTGGCTCTTGCTGGACCTGTTCTGTCGCAGGCCAGGTGGCTTCGGTGGCTTTGGGAGCTTTAGTGGAGAGCACTTGGGCTCCAAAGCCGTTAACGAGTCGCTTAGCAGCATGTAGTGGGACTCAACTGGATTGAAGGGGTTTGCCAAGCGTTTCGGGTTCAACAGCGAAGTTGTTCTTTGCCCTGTTGATGAGGGGTCATAGGAACAATCTTAAGGAAGAGGAATTCATTCCACCTCGCGGCCAGTGAACGTGGTATTGATTGAAATACTGTAAAGCATTGATCTTCACGGATGTCTTTGGGAAAATCGTTAGAAACATAGGCTGTAATCATTGTCCTTTGCCGTCCAGTATGCTGTAAGGGTCTGGATGACTCAGATGTGGTAGACTTTTGATTTGTGACTTGATGGGGGCCATTGGTGGTTTGTTGTTTGGCTGATCTCCACCATCGTCAGAATTTAAATCGATTATACCCCGAAGGGGCTCAGGGTTTGATTGATAGGCGCAGCGGCCTCACAGCCATTGCAAGCTTGTTTTCGATGGCTGAACATGACGTGCAGTTGCAAGCACGTGTCTGATGCAAGAGAGTAAGGGCCAGATAGGGACGGCCACGTGTGGTGCTGTCCGACCACAGGAGGTGAAACGAAGGTAACTTCAAATCACCTAGCTTGATGAAGACACATCACCACGCATCACCCCAACCTTCTCGGCGAATTGCCAGGCATAAAACGACATAGAGAACGAGAACCCAGGAAACATCGCACATGACCCAAGGATCCACCCAGATGGCACAACGTCATTTACCGTACCATCTGCATACCATTGGAAAAAGGTCATCGTCATCGCATTGCTCTTTGACTTTAGCTGCTACTGAGCGGGTATCCTTTCCCACCCCTGAAGTTTCTGACGACTATGGCGGCAACCACATTTTGCAAAAACTTGCAACAATGGAGTATCAAAGGTTTCTTGCAACGCCCCGAAACGAATCCTTCAAAAGGTCGGGGATTTGTTGCTTGCACTTCTCATCTCCATCGAACACCTCTCTGACTCACGTTTCAGGCTGGGCCTCCCGGAGGAGCTCTTACGAGCCTTGGGTGGTGATGGTCGCGGGACCTCCGAAGCCGATGCTTTGGCTGCCGCCGAAGAGGCGCTTTGGATGCGCGAGCGGTGGAGCGGTAGGATGCGGTGGGCGCGGGGGCCTATTTGGAAGGGAGGACTGAGAAACATTCTATGCCTCCAACTACAAGCGATGGCCTCCAACCTAAGAGTGATGGCCTCCAAATGTGTTGATGGTCTGAGTGTTGATAAACATTATACTTGTAGGGTCTCACATTGGACGGGGAGATAGTATGACGTGACTTCGAATCGGAGGAGTGGCGGTCATGTTGCCGAGGCTTTGGCTTCCCTGCGTAGACGCTCTGGCTATGGCTCTGGATCTGAAGACGAGGCTAGGGTCATCATGGGTCATCTGGGTGGTGGGCGGCTTGGGTCACCCAATCTGTTGATTTGACTCCAGGAAGCCTTGGTGGCTCCCGCCCTGCCAGCCCGTTCGGTGCGTTGCCCTGCTGCACCGGAGCGGCGCCTGAGACGTGCAGGACATGCTCGGGGCAGGTGGGATTGGGCCAGCCTCAAACATCAAACTGAAACCATACCAGGCAATGCTGAGGTGTCGATGGTTGACAAGGGAATTGACCTTTGTCGCTACAGATTCCACATCCAAGAGTGATGGAAGGTTCCACAGCTCTGGGAAGCTTGAAATTTGGCAACTTTGTCTTTGTCCATGTAGTTGTTGCCCAACCCAGGAGTGAAGCAAAGTCCAAACTATATTTTGATTCTTTCCAGATTCGCAACAATGATCAAATTGATCTACAATGCTGCAAAAACCTGTGCTAGCCATGTGAGATGACACCGCGTCATTTAGGATATTTTTGTGCTGAGCGACAGACAATCCTTTCGTTGATCCATTCTTTCGTTCGCAGGCGCGGCGACCGGGTCCCTGTGTACAGGGTTCAACGGCTGGAAATGAGAGGCCTCGAGTTGACGCGAGGATATGTGACGTGCCAGCAGAAAGCAGTGAGGAATTAGGTCCAGGTGGCAACGGGACGCCGGAGGCGCCAACGCCATACAAGGTACACTTTCGATTTTTAGTATAGCACTGGTCTATAATTGCTGTATGTTGTTTGTCCTGCAAAAGCTGCAAAGACAATGGAAGCAAATGGAAACAACACGATTTTATTTGTTTGGCAGGCACAGTGTGTCCATACAACTTGCGTGCTTCAGTTGCTGGCCCAAAGTCTGACCTGGCCCACTTCAGCCACTGTGTCAGTGTGCACTGCACATCGCTTTCGCACGCATGGCTATTGCTTGGCGTTTGATGCTTTTGGTGACCGTATCAGCAGAGCCGGAGAGACTATTGACTGAAAGCGATGCCTCGCCTGCGCATGCAGGCACCGACAGGGTTTTCACATGTTTTCAATCGGAATGTGTTGTTCGAGCTTTGGACTCATGCAAGCTGGCAATCTGTTGCAACACTCAAGGAGGCTTTTGTGCCCTTGGTGCTGCTGCTTCAGGCTGCTTCATCACCAATGGTCCCAAGATGCTGGTCATCAAGCTGACTTATGATGGGAACAAGTTCGACATTCCAGGAGGCCAGGGAGCAGCTGCTCTGGTGTTCCAAATGTCATGGATGCTTTTGTTTTTTTTGAAACTATATATTTTTTAAACTGCAAACTTAAGACAATGGCGATGTTGAGGGCAGACTGACTGGCGGGAGCCCGCCATGCGCACGGCTGAGCGGGAGACCTGGGAGGAATCCGGCTATCGTGTGAGCATTGGTCAGCTGTTGGCGACCGTACGCAATGGCTTTCGCATCTACAGGCGGGGCCATTGTTGTGGCTGGGGGGAGAGAACAAATGGGCTCCCACGCCCCTTTAAAGAGGAGGATT